TAATAATTATGCCTACCAACGCCTACAACTTTATCGTGAGCTTAATGATTTCATTCCACTGGACCTCCACCTTCTATTATTTGGAAACTCCGAGCTGACTAACCAGGAAAACGAAACTATATGCCAATCCACCCAAAGATTTATTATAAATACAAACCGGTTTTAAATTATACTCTATAGTAAATTATAATCGTTCCTTCCCAACTCGGGTGACAATCGGTTGAGATATGTTATTTCCAGAAGGATCAGCATGGACCAAGGAGAAGGACATCGGTGGCACGGTTTTTGATAGACATTGACAAGTTGAACGCTAGGAAGAGTGGAATAGTATAAAGAATGTGATTGTCACCTGGGTTGGGTTAGACCCCCCCCCCCCCCCCCCCCCCCCTCTCTCTCTCTCTGTCTCTCTCTCTCTCTCTGTATATATAATTGTATCTTGTAAATTTCGAATAGGTCATCTTTTGCATTTATATGTGTCTGTTATTTATCATGGAACGGGCTTTATATAAGTTTGTAAACTTGTGCCCAATCCATTTGTATATACAATTTATGCAATAAAATATGTTTAAATCAATGTGTCTGTGATATGCATATAGGTCTTTGTAACTACCCAGCATTATCAAAAAACACACTTACATTTCCGGAAGTCAAACCTGTCATTTGATAACAAGTGTTAACACGTGGGATAATGACATGTTTGTGTTTCTATAGACTTCCGGAAACGAAATTATATTTTTGAGAAACGCTCCTATCAGTCATCCTAAAGAGGGCGCCACCATTTGAAGGGTATTTTCCGAGGATGAAACTGGTTGTTTTCGGATCAACAGGTGGTTCGGGGTTAGAGGTCATCAAAGAGGCCCTCTTAAGGAACCATAATGTGCTGGCGATAGCAAGGAATCCCGGAAAAGTCACTATACAACATGCTAATTTGAAGGTTGTTATTATGTTACTCTTAAGCAGAAGGATGTCAACATAGGAAACGCTAGGGTACATGGTAGACTAAATTCGGTGAAGTAGGAGGTCGACGTTCAGCACTGACGAAAAAATCAATGTCTTTTGTATTGGTTTTTGATTTGCTATTTTTTTAATGATGATGCAACCCCTTGGGTATTGATGGTGAGAGCAGAGATTATTATCATCATTATCATTTCCTTTCCTTTTTGTTTTGTTTGTCTGTTTGTTTGTTTTTCTATTTGTGCTGTCATTCTTTCCGGATATTTTGTCCCTCTGGTTCCCGTCCTACTAGTCCTGAGTACTTCCGGTTTATAAACACATCGATGTTATGTGCGACATGGATATCGCTCCTGCAGATAGTTTTGGGTAATTAATAGATGAAAGCAAATGTCGTATCATAAAGTAACGTTAGAAATTAGGTTATGTTATAATGACAATGCTTCTTCGCCAAAGAGTTAATTTGCAAGTTACCAAATTTCTGCTGTCATGTAATTATTAGGTAATAGTGATGCAATGCATTATGCGTACGTTTTGTACAGTTGTATTTCCAGTTTCTATGATCTCAAGGCGAGTCATTATCTCCAATAAACTGAATATCAAAGATAAGTTGTGTGCACAGTATTCGTACTTTCAGTTGTTTTTATTATAAAAGATATCACCATCAATAATATCATAACATATTCCAAATATATATCTAAACATTTTTGTAAATCGAATTCATAGAAATGAACTGATTCGTCGTTAAGGTAATTAATGATGGCCTCTTATAAGCAGTTCATGCGGTAGACCGAAACTTTCTGTCTCGGAAATGATAATTTGATGTCAATATTCACATTCATTTTTGCTGTTGCTGATATTTATTTTCTATGACTGCTCATTTTAAAGCTTTCAAATGAGCAGTCAGTAAGGGAAAATCTTAGAAGGAAAGTAAAAAATATCTTAAAGTAGTGAAATTCAAGACTTGCACTCTTCAGGCACTCTTAACACATTGGTATGGGTGCACTGTAAGGAAAGGGGGAACACTGATGTGAGATGCAGCAATATCTGATTTCAATATTTGAAAAGTACATGAATTAAGAGGAAGAATATGCATATTGATAGGTTGTTGGTTCAGATTTTGCCAAATGTATAGTTTTTATGTAACAAATCTAACTTGCCGTAAGTACACACAACTTACAATTGATTGTAAAAAATTTTACTGACAATAATTTAATAAAGTACTTAAGTTATCAAAGATCTATGCACCACACATCTAATGACCCTTCATCCAAAATTTTATGTTATGTTAAGATTTCCATTGATCCCTTGTTTCAACATTTTGATTTCGGAGCTGAGCAGGAAAATAAAATGTCCGACAGTCAGCCACAATGGACTTTGGCTATAAAAGTTTGTTATTGGTTTTTCTTCTTAAGAGCTTGATGGATCTTTCTCAGATTTTATGAAAGGGTTCCTCTTAGTCCTTAGTTGTGCCCTTTTGATATTCGGCATCAAAATTCCTCTGCAATATCTTTGTTATTTATTTCAAATGTCACATTATGGCGATCAATTACATTTTATATATGGTTTAATACAGGAGATTTTATACATGTTGAGGCTACATCATTTTCATTTCACTTTATGAGTAAAGGAAACTGCTACATGTGAAACAGTATTGCCAACCTTTCAGAATGAAATATCAGGTCATGAACAGCTAAAAACAAGGGTGAAAGGGTCGAAACAAGGATCATGTTTGGTACGACCTGTTTTTAATTTTTTTTTCAGGAAAACGTGGAGTATAAGATATGCCGAATTAAACAAACCACTTCATATAAGTATTTATATACAGAAGCTTTATTCATCACATATTTATTATACTTTTTCTTCACAATTCTTGGAGCTGCAACTGGCAGCTTTGGTTGGGTGTACAGACATTGCCTAATTCCAATCTATAAGCCTTCCATCCTAAATTTCTGTAACATACATCATTCTCTTAACAAATAGCAGTTTTGTGCAACTTTGTTTTAAAAAGATAAAGAAATCTGAGACATTTACAACATTTAAGAAACCTATCAAATGCAGCACATTGTTTTTGTTCTGCTACACCTGGTCCTAATTACATTTTCAAAATAAAGAAATGGAAGTGAATACTTCTTGTGGAAATGTAAAAAATGTTTTGTGAATATTGTCCCAATTTGGCAATGACCTGCTAATGTTGCATGGGCTGCTGTTTTCTCACAAGAGATAGGTAGCAACAATTTTATAAACTACATATGGACATAGTTTAATACAAGGGCTGATTGATAAGTTGGTATACCTTGCTTCGAAGAAATTGAGCAGGTTTGTCCTTTTCCAGCTCTACTATGCCTGAACTTTGGCTGTTGTGACCACAGAAATGGTCTAAAACACTCATGATATTGTTGTGACTGACAGGGGAGTTACAGACATATATAGCCAGTACAGTTGAGATTTCACAGGAAAGAGTACATTCCATTTTAGGGAAGATCTTCCAATGAGAAAGCTCTGGTTAGGTAAGAAGACTTCTGACATCTGATCAGAAGCACACCAGACATACTATGTCACATGCTTATCTGAACCTTTTATAGGCAAATCTTGCTAATTTTCTGAAGAGGTTTTTGACTATGGATGAAACATGGGTCCATCATTTTACCCCAAAGGCCAAACAACAGTCTAAACAATGGACGATGAGATGCTGATGGTATTTTAATGGTAGATTATCTGTTAAAGGGACGAACAATAAATGGCACATATTATGTATCATTTCTTAGGTAATTTACAGAAAATATTAAACTCAAACACTACAGAAAACTCAGTAAAGGTGTATTGTTCCACCAGACAATGCCCCTGTTTACAAGTCTGTCATTGCCATGGCTGTCATTAATCACTGGCTTTGAATTGATTGAGCATCTGCCTTATTCCCCTGATCTTGCTCCATCAGACTTTCATCTATTTTCAAAATTGAAAAAGGCCATTTCCAGCACCCTATTTACAGAACTTACTGAAAGGCAAGAAAAGGACTTCCTTAAAAGTGGCATTGAGGCCCTTAAACATTGCTGGCAAAAGAGTATAGATACTGAAGGGGATTATGTTGGAAAATAATGCAATATGTCCACCAAAAATCACACCCTTAAGCAGGAGGTTCAGTATATCTCAATCTAGTGTAATAAAGACTTTTGTAGACAGATAAATTCTGATTCCCAAAACAATTTTACATAAACTTGATCCTATCTTATGTCTTTGTGTTGCTGACTTTAGCAGCCTCTGACAGTGATTGCTTACAATAATACATATCTACATCTCCAGAACATATTGAACAAGCAATTAAATCACAGACAAAAGATGATTTGAACAGAAAACTACCCATCTTTTATGCAAGAATAGTCTGTCTGTCTCCCTCCTCTGATCACAGCATGTAAATGATTCTGCTTGAGTGAGACTGCAGATATTTGTGTGAATGGGATAAATAAAGGTAAATCTAGCGGTATTCCAGAGCTAATCTTGAATGAAAATCATAGGTAATTTGGTAATCCAAACAGATGAGTCAGTGATGGTAGTCTAAATACCAGTTGACCTTGTGAATACATGTGAGTTAGCAATACTGTGAAAGAAAGACTATGTTTTCATCTTTGAAAGTAAATATTTATGAAAGCATAGAATGGTGTGTGTAAATATATTTTCTGAAATCATGTGATAGATTTTGAGAGGTTAAGGTTGACAAGTATCATGGGATGATTTACAATTGTCATAATGATCTCATTGAAAAACATTTTACTTCCATGTGTGATATGAAGTTTGATGATGATGTTTGATGCTTGGTAGTGTACCTGGTAGTTCTATTGTTGACCTTGCTCTCAGTTTGAGAATGTGACATTATTGACATAGATTAATAAGGATTTGCATGACAGATTTTCCTACTTCCATCAAATGGGACTTTTAATTAAGATTCTGGTGGTTTGTGAGTATTTTTTGTTCTTAAGTTTAATTATATCATCTGTGAAAATGAGATTTTAATTTGAATAATCAATTGCTCCCGTTTCTTTTTTTTGAAGGTTGCACAAGCGAAATTGTTTGAGCCACGTGACCTTGAAGGACCAATCAGAGAAAGTGATGCTGTTGTTTCCTGTCTTGGCTGTAATGCCGGATTCCTTGGCAGAAAGCCGACAACATTCTATACAGATTCCATGTCGTCATTGACGACAGCCATGAGAGCAGCGAATAAAACACGACTTGTGTGTATGTCGTCGTGGTGTACACATCGTATGTATATTAGAATATGGACACCTACATTTATTGCAAAACTATAATGTGATGTGTGGTTTACATTTTGAATGGTTCGGATGCTATTATATTTTATTTGGAATTCAAATAACAATGTATTTCAATGATCTTTCACTTTGTATATTTCATTTCAATAAGACTGTAAATATTCTGATTAACAGTAACAGTGATCTCTTGATCATTTCCATAAACATATTTCTTCTTTAAAAATTCATAAATATGTGGATTAAAGTGCAATTGCAACTCAAATCAACAATGATGAAGTTGTAAAGTTTTTCTTCAGAGAAACATTTAAGACATGAATGTACTACTAAGATGTCGCAGGGTATATTGTAATAAGAAGGTATTTTTCTTTTCATTGTTTCCATTGTTTATGGTCACTAGAACATGGACACTAGGTAAATTCTTTTATGTCAACTGTCGCTAAATACAGTGGATATCATAATAAATCATGATTAATTATTTTGTTTTTAGCGGGCATAAGGACTCACTGGTTCTCTGAGTGGGTTATGCGGCCATTTGTCATAGGAAACCTACTCAAAAATCTTTCAGAGATGGAGAATGACCTTAAGCACAACTACTTGGATCTGGATTTTACCGTGGTTAAAGCACCAGGCCTGATAAACACAAAGAGCTCAGGTAATCAAAAGGAACATGATGATAGTACTAGATACCTGAAAAAGGCTTTAATTCTTTTCTTAGTGAACAAGGAGACAATCATATATCATTAAGCCTATTTGTTTTACGTCCTCAAATCTTTTATTAGTGAACAAGGAGACAATCATATATCATTAAGCCTATTTGTTTTACGTCCTCAAATCTTTTATTAGTGAACAAGGAGACAATAATATATCATCCAGCCTATTTGTTTTACGCCCTCAAATCTTTTCTTATTGAACAAGGAGACAATCATATACTGTCCAGCCTATTTGATTATAGAAAAAGGTACTTGTATGTACTCGGTTTTATACACAATGTCACAGCTTATTCTTCATAACATCGCAGCAATAGGAAATGTGTTGACTTAACGAGGAAATGATTTGTTTCTTTCCAGTTAACCTCAGGTACTTAATACTATTAACCAAATTAGATTATATTAATAGTTACATGTACAGCACTTATAAGAAAAAGAGATTTGTATGTTTCTTCCATCTGTTTTTTTTCATGTCTGTCAAATAATTTTGGTCAAAATAAGGTATTTACAGTAATGTATGAAAATAGAAATCAAGATATCACAGCTTTGGTTCTTACAAAGATACTTTCAAATGGATAACAAGTGATTAACAGAAATGTGTTATTTTTTAGGAAAGACCATAAAAACAGAGGAGGACCAGTTTGTGACAGGATCCCCAATGATAATTCCTAGACGGGACGTTGCCATTTTCATGCTTAATTGTATAGAAAAAAATAAGTGGACAAAAAAGGTTGTCTCGATAGGGTTGTGATACAGTACTTCAGAGACCTGTTTAACGTTTTATTCAAATCACATTGTTTACCAATATTTCAATGAGAAGATGTTCATAGTAGTATAGGAGGTACTTTCATGCACTTCATGATTGTAATCGCATGTTCTGTGCTCCATGTAATAATTAACCATGTTAAATAAATATTTCAAGACATTTAATTACCATCTATTTGTCTATCCTTTTGTTCTATAATAAATGTATGTGAGTTGTGGTCCCAATACAGAATTAGATACGTACTGGATCATAAAGGAGGACCCATCCATTCTTGGTACCAGAAAAGGAAAGTCAATTACATTTAGTCAGTTTATGGAACTGATTTTACATCACTCAATAGTTATGAAACTTTGAATTATGTAATCACCACATCAAGTGTTGGTCAAGCTATCTCCAAGTATGGTCATACCTTGGTCATAAGACCAAGTTGTAAACACTCTATGACCAAATTTGGTCAAGAATTAGATGAGGATCAGAGCCAGTGCTAAAAAAAGATCAGTTAGTGTTATTGCTGGGAGAACTCCGAATAGTCTCTCCTCAATTCTCCTTTGGAAACCAAATTTGTTAAATGTGAACTCTATTTTAAAACTTATTGCTTCACCTGTTGTGGAAAAGATGCTAGAAGTCTTGAAGTACATGGATGATGTAACCACTTCCGGTGTCTAATACACTGTAAACCTGGAACATGGATTGCTTCATGATTTGAAGTATTTTTAAACACCTGAAGTGATTTATTTTTTTAATCATTTTTCATTTTTCAAGATTTTACATGTTGAACAGGACAAATACACTCACACCCTCTCACACATCCAAACACAGGTGCACATATAGTCATTGCGTGTCAAACAAGAACACTCCATTCAAAAGAATCATCAACATCATCATCAACATTTAACAATGCATGTGATTATTATTATTATTATTATTATTATTATTATTATTATCACCATACATGATAATCCTCATATATCACAATCAATATTATTATGTTACACACTAAATAATGCATCATCATCATCATCATCCTCAAAAACATGATAATCTTCCTCATCATCCATTTCAACATATATATCACAATCAATATTACTATCATGATTATTGTACATACTAAATAATGCATCATCATCATCATCCACATTCAACAATTCATCATCATCATCATCAAATCAAGATTCATACTTTCATAACCATTATGAAACCTTATGATTCATAAATATCACAGTAAACTTTTGTTTGAAATGCACCCATGCACACGTGCATAAACACACACACAACCATAAATTGACATCAACATACAGAAATGAAATAGAACATTATTAGGGATAAGAAATTTAAAGAGAAAGAAATTGAAGAGAAGGAAGAAAAAGTAAAGTGGATTGTTGGGTGAGATGGTAAAATAGGTTAGAGTAATTTAATCTTTTAATGTTTTTCTTTCTTTATATCTGATTACTCGGTATGGTCAAGGACTGTTATGTATATAATTATAAAAACTTATAAAAAAAAAAGAAAAAAAGAAAAACTAGTAATGCGATGGGTAATAGATCAAAGTGTGTAGATCAAAACTGTATTAATTTTTCCCATTTTTTCCATTCATTCTCAAAGGGCCGGTTTCCAAAACGGCCCCTTCTTTGATTCAAATTTCCTGTTGGTGGTGCATTGCCCATGCCGTTGTGGTCACAAATCTATAAAGTATAAAGATTTAGGCCACTTGGTTTGTTTTTTATGGCTCCTCAAAGTTGTACCTTTCAGAAGCTGTCCAAGTGTTGATAAAATGTGCATGTTATGTAAAATATTAATGAAAATCTAATCAAACGATAGTCACCGTAAAGAATACATTCATAGCACGATTGTGACAAAAAATCATGTTTCCATCGCGCCATTTGGTTGTTTTATGGAAGAAACAATCTCAAAAATGCCATTTTCGATGATAACATTTTAGACACAAAAACTGTGTTTTTTAGAGAATACACCCTTTTATGGGCGTTGGATGCAAACCAATTTTTATGCTATTAAATAGTACGTAATATGCTATTGATGAGAGGAAAAATCATCAAAATGTAAGTGGTGGAACATTTTCAAATGTTGGGTTGAATTAGCCTATGGTTGAATTGCCGATTTTCGACTTTCTTAAGATAATTAACAAAAAAAACGAGAGTATTTGCTCGGTATGTTGAGAATATGTACAGAGATATGAAAAAAAGTGAGAGAAACACTTTTTCATAAAAGAATCCAAGATGGCTACTTCACAAGTCCCCGTGGTTGAAGACATTGGCTGACAAATAGACAGAACAACAAACAAAACGTGTTCCTTATGATTTTGGTTGGTTTTCGCATTTACGGGAGTGTTCATAGCTCACGGGCGATTGTATAATACCTATATTTATAAGTTTGGTTAGTCACATGGTAACGGGGATCTTTCATATCGAGCCCCAAACATACTTTCGACATATGCACTACGTTGCCGCATGGAAAACTATTTCAAGTTTTGTCGGAATTTCTTTACCTGTGGTTGTAATGGTCGAGGGTTTTCCAGCGTCCTGTAATACCCAAGGTAGTACAAGATACTGGAGATGTGCGCACACATTCCCATCGTTCTCTCTCCAACTGGGCATTGGCAGTAGTAGTCCTTTATTGGGGCCTCAACATCGGGTGAACCGATGAACCGTATCCAAACGTTATATTTCGTTTGGCTTTTGTGTCGAGAATGTATTTGACATCGGAGAAGGTCTGGGGAGTGCTGGTAAAGCCACACCTCATAGTCTCCGTCATCACTTAAATGTTCGGCGATGTAACTAGGAGCCAGAGCTATCTGATACGTTCCACACGTAATGGTTCTCAAGTAATCAAGATCGAGACGGGGAAACAGTACGGAAGATGCATCCATCTTAACAAACTCGGACCTTGCCCGTCTAGATTGATCCGGATCTATCTTGACTCTCTGAGCTAAACCATTCGGTGTTGTCAAACGGTCCTTCATACGTTCAGCCATTAGCCTATCTTTGGCATCTCTCTCTGGAGATCTCTGGTAGATCGGTCCTCTAATACCATTCAGACAGGCTGTGACGGTTCGAAGTAAAGCCTCAATGACATTGATAAAGCTGTTAGACACCAATTGCGTTCGGAAAAACGTCCAGTGTTTCAGACGACCATGATAGGATTCCACAATCCACCTCGATTTGGTGATAGTTCTGTCAAGATTTGCTTGGACGTCAGAATGTTGACTTTGACCGGGTTTCAGGTATGACGGCATGCTAGCATTGAGGCCAGAGGCTTCGAGAACTGGTAGGACATCTCTAAAACCTCGGTCAACGACAACGTTGTCGTCTGGTTGTAGCCAAGTAACTAGCTTGTCCATGACTTTTTTTTTGTAATTGTAGCATCATTTTCGCTGCCAGTGAATGGTCCTACGGTGTCCAGAATGTAGCCATCTGGTAAGGCGATGCTCATGAATTTGACATAGTTTCTCTTCTTCTGGCCACAGTAGAACATTCTCTGGAGCTTGTGGTTGGAGCTTTTCTGGATATAAATATAGGTGCCATCTAATATGGCAGTGGCTTTATCTCCAAAAATGCTTCTGAAAAGACAGTATTGTGCCCGAGCAATTGTTCTCTTGTCAAGTGATCCGGACCTAGAAATTGTGGGACTATCGATGTGTCTAATGCCTGTACTATGGAGTGGGAAGTTTTGGACACACTTGACTTGGAAATTCCAAAAAGAGAAGAACACTGACTCCAGGAAATGTCGGTTTTCAGTTTTACCCAGAACAGTAATAGAGCATCGTGTGTAGTCTTGGTATATATACCAGATGAAAGATATGGGGAACAGTGCGAGTGGATTTCGAGGAACTGATCTTTGGACCAACCTGTCCAGGCCATGCATGCCGAGTCATCAAGAGAAGAAAAGCTTATTGTAAACGCAGACTGGTTCTGTGAAAGGACGTGCGACACCTCTAGGAGGTCATTAATGATTTCGGACGATTTTGATGGTAACTGAGATTCCAAGGAACCTCTACCATCAAGGACAACCTCTGTAGATGGATCTAAGTCGTTACCAATAAGGTGAATGGAGCAGGCGCGGGATGAGGTGGGACACCACAGTTTGTGTGAATAGATCAGATGATGTCTTGCACGTTTTGGTAAGACTGATGATTTTGTTCCATTTTTTGGAAAGGTAACAAGACAGAGACAGCATTTTTTGTGTGAAGATGATCTATTCAAAAGATCATGAAGGGTCAGCAACGGCAGGATATGGGACGGGGAGTCGTATTCTTCCTCTATTTCCTGGTTCTGCTCGGGTTCAGGTTCAGGCTGATTTTTGTTCCGAAGATACTTCATGTAGCACTTCTGGCAAATAAATGCTTGTTCCTTTGCTGACATCAATCCTTGTTGCACCAGCGTATCTAGGAGCCATTTATATTGTGGACTATTTACATTGCGTGCACTTCTGTTCTTATTGCCACTATGTTTCTTGAAGTATACTTGACACTCTTCTCCAACACATTTACCCTCCATCTTGAAACAATAACGATTGGTTTATGAAGCGTCGATAAAGTAACAAAATAGCAAGCCACCGATGATTGCTGTAAACAGCTAATACTTAGTAGTTTGGTACAATTATGCGAAAATGTGTGATAAATAATGAACAACTAATTACACAAAATAACAAGACAATATAATAAATCACATTCAATACCTCCAAGAAGCGCAGAATTGATTGATTACTTAGAACAAAATAAAGTATTTCATACGGATAATCTATCTATTCGATGTGGCGTGGTCGGCAGGCACAAAGAAAGTGAGACAAGTCAGAGTCCCAACCCTGACAGAGCCACAACGCTTTGGAGATGGGACAATAAAACAAGGAAATTGAGACAAGAATAGCTAGCGTCGAGTGAATGATTTCGTAAACGTATAGACAAAGACAAGGATAAATGTACAAGGCCACACGATCAGAAAATTCATAAGAGGACAGCTTGAGATAGAACAGTATTCATGTATCAGGGTGTCCTCAGTGTAAATCTTTATATCGATACTATTTATTTAGTCGTTACACATCATAAAACTGTCATGAAAATATCTGCTCTGATATTCAATATAAAAGTTTGTATATAATAAGCTATATGATAGGGTTTCAGACAAGGTTGTTTC